TTTTGATCGTTTCGCTAAACTAAGAAACTAAGCGATCGTTTCATCCTCTAGGTGTGTGTGTGTGTGTGTGTGTCATCCTCTATCCCTCACCCAGCCGGGAGCGTTGGACAAGTAGAACTGCGAATAATTTGATCAAATCTCATGCTCCGTAATGGTGCCCTTTATGTTGTGAAGACTAGTACCACAAACGAAGTGACAGAAACTTTGGTGACTAACCTTCTATTGCAATTTTTCAGTGTACCACATGGCAACACCACTACTACTGGATTGTACCACATGGCAACACTACTATTGGATTGAACTAGCATTTTCACCAAATGTACTAGAATATTTTGGTTCTATCATAGAGGTAACTCTAAGACCACTGGGTCCCGAAGAAAATCATTATTATTTTTGGCTCACTCAGTACCAGAACAACGGTCCCAAGCAGTCCCAAGCTATTTCACTCACCCCTGCATGTTCTGCATGAATCCACACACCCCTGATGTTATCTGTCAAACTTTCATAGCGAATCAAAACAAACATAGTGTAGTAATAGAATTTCAACTAGAATAGGATACGTTAATCGTTTGCTTGGGACCAATAGGCTACTAAAGTGGTGAGCCAATTTAAAATCGTTAGTTTCGTATTGATTGTTGGTTCTATCTCTTTCACTCTACTCAAAACTGAAATGCATAAAAAAAAATGACAAAATGATACGCACTCTTTGCACACTGTCAAAGAATCATTGTACACAACTCTGATCAACTTTGTTCAAATCAAAACAAAAAAAAAACTAACCCATCTGGTGGATGATGGCACAAGTTTCCAAGAAAATTCTATTACAGTGAACCACATTATTTAAATGGATTTCTTCGCCAGTAAGTCGTCTGTCACTTCGTTTGTGCTAGTACTTCAAAAAGGGTAACTTTTGAGGCAAGACAGGGTGTCCTCAACAAGTTAAGGGAACAGGATGCACTAGATGTCCACAACAGGTACAGCAAAACATCACATAGACGCCCTTATTCACACTAACTACTCAGGGGATAGAAGGTCAAGAAGAGCCACCACCGCCAACTAAAGCTTGAACCGGGTACCTGGGACTCCCACGATATACCCGCGGCAATGGTCAGCAGACGATGCCCTGTGCGTATTTAGTATGTAATATGTTTTATTTGGATACACAAAATGTTTGAAGCCATGCGTCATCTAAACCATAATTTGCATCACCACAAATACACTTGTCAACAATCTTCAACTGGAACGTACTCATCAAATCACTTCACCCGGGAGCGCATTCCCGATGCTTCCACGCATATTTTTCTCTCCACTCCAACCACACAACAACCAAATATCACTTTTCTTCACTTTTCTTTTTCAAGACACTCCGTGCACAAAAGCAATGCACATCGGAAAACCCTAACAATAGATCAGCGCCGTGCTCATCACCGCGTAAATAAACAGAAAAAAAAATTTTCACTCGCGATGCCACAAATTTTTGGTCCGGGAGAAACAATCAAACCACGCAGATAGCGCCAAATCTTCTGATGCTTGCAATTTTGCAAACATGAATCATGTTTTCTTTCTCGATTCTAAAACTTCTCGGAAAGCGAGAAAACCACCACTCACACACGTATAATCGTCCGGGAGGCAGAGTGCCAGCGTTAATTCGGCAAATGCAGCCGAAAACTATGAAAGAGAATGCACGCACAAAACAGAGAGCAAATTTAGATACAACCGTATCCAAAGGCGTTCAAAACTCGACTCCGCGATCGTTTCATCCTCTAGGGAGCCCTAAAAAGCGTGATGAGAGCTGTTGCCATGAAGCATAGGAAGAGGAACATATTTTCACCTTTCCTGATTGATTTATCCATCGCAGGTGCTTGAAATTGTCATACACGTGGAATATTTTGATTTCTGAATCGATTTTGCAGTGATCCAGCTGATGCTTCCACATATTTTTGATGAGAAAATTGTACCAGCGGTTATGATCCTCCAGATTAATGGTTATTTGAGCTGTACCTATATCAGTTCAGATACGTAGATAATCGAAAAATTATACCACTCCCGATAGAAATTTGCAAGTTGTGCAAGTTTTGAAAATCGTCATTGTGATGCAAGCAAACGGTTTGGATGACATTTCCTCTCAAAATCCCCTAGTGCACTGTACATTGGTGGTGCATCGAAACAGCCTATAGGCTTGTCGTTCGCACGCTTTGGAGAATTTCGAACGGAGTTAGGTGGTGGCCAGGGTAGACGCGATTCGCGACGCGTCACAACCAATTCAAGAGAATCTTATCATTTATTGTTTATTGCGTGAGTCGCATCGCGTTGTGTCTACCCTGGCCACGGCCTTAAGCCGATCGGATCGGGGTCAAGACAATGTCGAACTAGATGACAGCTTCGAATCAACTTAGGCTGCAAGGGCGAACACTGCCGAGTTCAATTTTTCAATATCCGCCTTCATTGAGTCGACAGCTTCAGGTGTCATCGAGCCCTGCTCATTGTCACGACTCATGATGTTGCGAAAATGCCCGTGAGTGAACCACTCAGCCCGTAACGTGGTTAGATCACCTTTTCGTGGTACGTTACGGGATGTAAGATCTACCACCGATTCCTAGTCCTGACTACTTCAAACTAGGGGAACAGGATTTTTCAGTAATCAAAGGAACACATCTAAGTCCTTGTTACTTTTTGTGCCTTGTTGATAGTGACAAGACTCAGTTTTGTCTACCGAGGATGATCTTGAAATAAGGAAAGAAAATGAGTTAGTTGTCTTCATCTATGTGACTCCTAATCTTCTATTCATTGTTCCCTAGTTTGAAGTGGTTAAGACTAGGGTTATGAATCATGGTAATTATCGGTGTCATACCTTAATTTTCTTGCTAAGGAATCCAATTTTGACTGCCAAAGGAGCGCGCCTTTGGAAGATGTTTCAACACAACATACAATTAGAGTCGGATCCTTCCCGAGTAGCACACTTTCAACACAATAAGTTGCAGCAACTTGTTTATGACTGAAATAAGTCGTATATAAGTTTCTACAATTGATTTGTGACAAGCGTGCTACTAGGGTTGCGATAAATGCAAGAGTGGCAACTGTAAAAAAAATCTAATACTTCATCATTCCTCAATAGTGATGGAGTAATACGACATGGACTAAACTAAGGACACGGGATATACTACAATAGATCAATTTACTGGTCGCAGTAGTGTTAGGTCCCAAACAGAGGAAAAAAAACCGCTCAGCACAGTGATCGCACATCAAAAAACGTTTTTCTCATGCATTCCTAGCTGGTCGAGAAGATTCAACTCAACCTTGGCGCAGATGATGTGTAAAATTTCACCACAGAAACCACGGCAAAAAATGCGCTTCGAATCGGAAACGATTTTCTGGCACTCTTTGCAAAACATATTAAAAAAATTGTGGCCGGTGGTGTAAATGCCACAGTTGTTGTAATGCGCCAAACGGTAGGCAAAGATAGATGCAAAAAGCTTGGTATCAGCGGAAGGTAGGGCTATTAATCTGTAGATAGCGTTTCGATCAAAACAAAATGAGCGTGCGGGTGTGGTAGTGTGTAAGGACAGACAAACAGACAGATCACTCGCAAGTTGTTCATCGAACAACATTTAACGGTCAATTTAAAAGTATCGTAGATGGTACTACCGCCACCTGTGGCGCGCATAGTTAATTCCCTTGCGTTTGACGTTTACGCAGTACCGCCATCTGTTCAGTGTACTCAACAGATGGCGGTAATGTTTTAGCGACGATGTTTTACAATGAGAAATATTCAATGAGTTATGTCTGTTTGTCTGTAGTGTAAGGTTGATCGGATACGGCACGACACAAATAGTTTTCGGGATAACAATCCTTCGTGATAATAGCACTAGGTATCACACAAAAGGCACAACTTTCACAATAATACAGTCACAGAACAAGTGAGCTCGTGGCTTCTGAACAACTTAAGCACACCGAAAACCACGAAAAAAAAACTACTGAAGACTGAAAAAACACCCCCGTGCCAACACATTCTAGAATATATAAGAAAGAGGGTGGGGGCTAGTTGTGGAGTACCACCCAGATGTAAGAACCACTCATCGGAATGATGTTAAAAAAACCAATTTAATCGGCCATGGCATCTCTGATATAATTTTGTTTTTTTAATAAAAAGTGTGTCCCGGGCTTTTAAGGACTAACAATATAAACAACCTGAGACCCCACGTTTCGTATTAACAAATGTTAGTCATGTGTGCACCAATTCTGACAATTTCAGCGCCAAATTAAAGATAGACACATTAGTAATATTCAATTAACCTAAGTATAAAATTTGAACATCACTTGAATAATTTGTACCGAGAACAATGAATTATAAAGATTAAAGCCTCGTTAATAAAGATAATAATAATAATTATTTTAATAATTCCAAAAACTTCAGCATTCATCTGCTATTTATAAAGCGCATGTCTGAACATTGTCATCAATGACGTTTGAAGATAGGCGCTACTGGCAGAGAGAAGAATTTGAATGCATAGTTAGAAGTGTCCATATATTATAACTAAACTACTCAATTTTGTAATTTCATGCAATTTATTGTACTCCATAATATAAATCAGATTATTTATTATATACAAGCGCAAAGGCAATGATATATGTAAATATTATACTGTCAAAGTTTTTTATCTTCACTAGCTTGTCTGTGAACGGATCAATATTTCTTATCAAACATGCGCAGAAATGCCTCGTCTAAAGCTTTCCAATAAAGTGAGCAGACTATAGTAGGTCACATTCGGTGCTATCATTCTAAAGTCGTTCCAACGTGATTCTGTGAGTTTCTATGTAAAATACATTTTGTGAATGAAAACCAGCTCAAACGGTATTTTTGGAAGTCTTCAAAGTGGTTTTTGATTGAAATTATCCATTGACGGTTGGAAATTGCGATCGGAAAATCATAATTTCAGCCGAATAGAAACGTTGATTTTCCCAGCTAGTGAACTTTTTCCATCCATTGATGGACTTTTCGGCCTTCGCGTATTTCGTGTACGTCGTGTGTGTGACTGTCCGTGTCCGAGGATAGACGATTGAGAAGGATTTTCATTCTAGTTGAATTCGGTATCGGTAGAAGTGCTGTGAAATCCTCCCCATTTTTTCGCTGTGGATAAGAAGTGAATTTTTGAAAAGATTTTCTATTGAAATCTGAAGGTTATTTGCGGTTCATAAAGGATTACATCCAACTAAGGTAGGAATTGTTGAATTTTTGACGATAACCGCATAAAATAAACGAAATTTAGTGAAACAAGATCTTTGCTTAGCGCAAGGAAAAGATTGACTTGCTCATGTGATGTGAAAATTCTTTCAGCCAAATGGTTGAGATTGTGTAACTCCCACAGATCGTGGAAATTTCATAGTTTATGTTAATTACAATATTGTATGGTATATTGTATTCCTTAAATGCAGCACACGTTTCAATTTCCAACCGTGTTAGTTGTGAATTTTCATTGAAAAAACTTTCCTCACGGCATTTTCCTCTGCCTCAGTAGCTTTTTAAATGGGTGGTCACGGGCGCCGCATACAGTTGTTCCAAAGCCTCACGGTATATATATATAGAAATGTACGTATGTATGTATGTACCGGAGTGAGGACGGTGACTCCTGTTTCTTCGTTGATTTTCCACCGTGTCTGGACTATGCTTCTCAAGTGTTTCCTTACTTTTCATTTCCGTCCAGCCAGCAAGGCTCCAATGGGCGGGTGTTTACAATGAAAAAGCTATCGCAACATTGGTATAGCTAGTGAAAAAGTGCTGTTAATATTCTTTGCTTTGCTTTGCATTACACTTTACAGCGGATTGGTGGTTTGCGTGTCTGGATTTGTACCCAACCGCGACGGTAATCCACCTAATTACGGTTTTCATAGGTTTCAAAGAAATTTTAACTCTGACTGCATTTATCGAACAGTTTCGCGGCATAGCTGCACTAATGCTAACCGTAGTATATGGTCGGGTGCTCGTCCAGACGACTCATGTGCCGCAAGGCACACCAAATCATAAGTGTATCGATTTTTCATCAATCTGATTATCCTTCTTTTTTTATTTTCGGGTTTAATGATGGCTCAACTTGTGCCAATCAGTAAGACCTGTACGGAAAGCTTCCCAATGTCTTTCGTATGAGGTATCATTAGAAGCATTGCTACATATTATTTACTAATCGTTTGTTCGTGTCGTGTCTTCTACGGATGACACACTCAACCTTGTTAGTGGATTCTATTCGGATTCCTAGCACGGCTATTTTAATGAGAATATTTCTTCTGAAGCTATAGAATGCTTTGAATGCTCGCCGTATCTATTATCCTGTTTCAGTAGGCTCAAACCCTATGATCTATATTCGGAACTGCTATGACAATAACGATATTTGAATTGATAAAAAAATGTTTTTCAAACGAAAATCAATGTAATGGTACATGTACCAGTCATGGCTTCATGTCCCTATTATAGCATATGAGAAATCCATATGAAGTACACTCAATTCTTTTTATCGGCATTATTTTCGCCTCTATTTTTGATCGTGTGATCTAAATTTACAACCAATTTAATGCAAATTGTTTCCAAAAATCATTAAAAAAATCTGATGAGGGCAAATTCTAAAAAAAATGCATAAAAGCAGAATTGAGTGTAATTGGAAAACACCATAATAGGAACTTATATTCATCACTATATTCATAATCTACCCTTGTATCATTGTTATTAAATATTGAGCTTCTTAAAGTTTTCTAGAGCTCGAATTCATTAGTGTAGCTTGCCAGTACTGCTTTCAAATAAGTTTTTGTTTTGCCTGTGCGAAAATATTACGCACAGGAGTCTACACCGGTGCAAAAAGCACACAAAAAATCTCATCTATTTTTCGTCAATATTAAAAATTTCGCATTGAAATAGAATATTCTTATCTATTGCAGTTAAGAAATCAGAAAACTTTTCTTTGACGAATCTACATATTTTTTTTCCAAAATCAAAGTTACCGGGGAATATTTATTTGTTTTCATTAAATATTTTAAAAAAATCGAGAAGAAATAATAACATTGACAAACTATAGATATTGAAATTAGTTTTTATGAGGACTCGGTCGTTCAACATCCTAAGAAACATGGTAAGTTTTATCAAAGTCAAATTGTGGTCTACAAGACTATGATAATACCAAAATTGTTACTTGGAATGATTACTTATCAGATTTGGTGTTTTGTTTATTTTTGGGACATTTTTGAAATCTCAAATTTGAAAACTTCGATATCGAGTGGAATTCATCAACCGTTGCGAAATTTTTGGCTGCTGACATCCAGGAATTGTTTTGCAGAATGTCAGCATACAAAGGTCAATTTTTGCTGAGATTTCCGTAAAACATTTCCGAACGGCTCGGCGGGGCCGCAATTACAAATATTCGGCATACACAACTAAGCGTGTGGTTCCCTGAATTCGAATCACATGCTACAATTCCTGTGCAGAATGTATTTCCGGGAAAACTGCTAGAAAAGTTTTCTTAAGACACCTGAATGCACTTGCAGTGCAATTGCTTTTTAAATCACTAGAAATTTCACGTGTTTTTTTTTATTTTTATTTCTTGATGTTGGAAAATTTTTACCGTCATTAAATAAATAATTTGGATTCAAAGACAGTAAATTTGGTCTAAAATTTTACTTTCAAGCTATTAACTTCTTCTACTTCTAGGTTTTTCACGCTTTTGTAGCGAACGTTTTGCCGGCTTTCAACTTTATGTTCTAGATGCACTTCCACAGTGATTAATTTGGAGCTTTCTATGAAAACCATGAAGTTGTATATTGTGTGGCAAACACAATGATACTCTATGTCCAGGGAAGTCGAGAAAATTTCCAAACCGTAAAATTTCCTCGTCCTGACTGAGAATCGAACCCACCTCCTCAAAGCCGGTAATACCGTGCCTTTACTGACTAGGGTATTTGAGGCCCATTTTAATAAATTATAAATCCATGTAGTAGAACATATTGCTTGCTACGAGAAACTCATCAAGACAAGCATTGGTGGAGTCTCATGGGGAACGAACTTGGTATAATGGTTAGCATCCATGCGTTTCACGCAATAAATATAAATATAAATATGATGCACGATGCAATTAGATGCGAGAAATGAAAGAAGATTTTTCGTAGATCGACTCGCTAGTATGAGATTTTTCGAGCATCTAGAATTGCGATTTAGACGTGACGCCTTTTGGTCCCACCGCCGGAGGCTATCTAACAGCCAATATATTGGAAACTCTCGACTTGTTCCACTACTTGCCCAGCTACCGTAAATTTGGGAGTGGTTGACCGGGTTGGCATCCATCGAGATTTGGTCGTGTTGAGAACTACCACAGAGAAACGTTCAACTAGGTTTTTAAGCTAAAGCTATCAGTACACTGTTTGTAAAAATGACAAATATTTGATGATCAGTGTTTGACCAAATGTTGCTGTTTGTCTAATCATTAGACTGACCACACGTAATCAAATATTTGGCAAAGTTTAATTTGTCGAGTATAGCTTTGATTGATGTTGTTTGCTTATTTGGAAAATGACCACAAAGGGTCAGTCAGTACATTATTTGTCGTATGCTCATTTTGATTTACCCACTTTTGAGTAAAACTGAATGTGCACAGTACAAAATATTCTTGACGAAGTTCTTGACGAAATAGTCAAGAGTTTAAACTTCAAACTTCTTAAGGAAGATCATAATATATCTATAGGACGTGCATAGGGTTTCGATGTAGTCTACAGGACTATGGAGAAGTGCATTGGTCTTCTCGCATAAGGTCATAGGATATCTAGTAAAAGTGCTAAAGATTTCTAGGAAATTATATAGCACTTATTGAGGACGTTCATAGTACTTCTTGAGGATTTCTAATGCACCTATCGGGGATACCCTTATGACTCCTCGAAGAAATTCACAGGACTTCTTGGACATGTCTAAAGGACTAATCGTAGAAGTCCATGCGCCTAAAGGACTTCTTGTGTAAATATATAGTGTACATATATAGTGTACATATAGGAATTCTCCTTTAAATTCTCGCCTTAGTCCTCAGGACATCTATCTGCAAATGACATCGGGAAATTTCTTAGGACTTCTGGAAGTAGTCTATAGGACTTATTTAGCAATTTTGTTTAGAAAATCTTCAATATCTTTTGATAGTCGAGGGATACAGATTTTATTTCTTGAGCAAAGTTGTGTATTTTGACGAATTTTAAAAGTTCTTTGAGAACAGTTTTTACGAAAAATTTGAAATAAAAAAGTTAGAGCTGGAAAACTGATTTTTATGGGTGCACCCTAACGCAGTTCAGAAACAACTTCTTCCAACAATGTGTGTCTTTATTTTTTTAAATACGAAAGTTAGTTTTTGGATTTCATGGATGGAACCCTAATGTTTGAAGGCACCAAAAGAATGATAATTTTAAGAAGAATAACTTCACTGAAAACACCAAACGCCTAAATCCTAAAACAAAAGTTCTTTGGACTTTTGTCTTGTGTCCAATCCTGGACCACTGTGCAGTGTCGTGATCGTGTGTGAACGTTTTTGATAGAGTTTATTGTGGCTTGGTGCCGGTAAATTTTGAGAAGCGTGGAGGGTGTTAGAGTTGGTCGTTTTTATTTTTTCGGTTTCTGGACCAAAATAGTGCAAATAGTGTGAATTGAATTCGTGGTGTGTGTTTCCACATAATAAGACATCTGCCATGGATTGATTTGGTGAGCTCGTTCCAGTTTGGGGAATATTCTAATACATTTATTAACATCAATGAACATCGCGTAAAAGTAGAATTTAATGAAGGCCTAAGTGCATTTTCGGAACTTTATGTCTCGGGGTTTGAAGGATCGTCGGTTGCAGTGGCTTATTTTAATGTAGGGGGCACCAATATCATAAGTGGTGTTGTTAAATGAGGGACTCGGCTGCCTTAGACCTTGTACAGACATGCAAAGTACACCGTTGTAATACCGTTGTACCATAGAGGTAAATTCAAGACCAGAAGGTCCCGAAGAAACGTGCTCAACTTTTTGGCTCAGCTCTGGTACTATCTTCGGTCCCAAGCTAATTGATGCACCCCTCGAAACATAGGAAAATCCACGAACCCCTCATTTTATCTGTCAAACTTTCATAGCTAATCAAAACAAACATAGTGGAGTACTAGAATTTCGACTAGAATGGGGTACTATAATCGATTTGCTTGGGACTAATAGGCTAGTCAAGTAGT